TGATACCACACTTGGAATACTGCATCCAATTCTGGCCATCTTGATACAAAAAAGAGCAGCTAATATGGTATGGAATCTATTGGATAAATCATATAAGGAACAATTAAGGTAACTAGATATATCTAGCTTAACAAAGAAAAGAATTAGGGGTGACATGATAGCAGTGTGGAAAATAACTGGAAGAAGCAAGGAAGTTTAAAAATAAAATATAGATACTTTTAGCATTATCATGTAATCATTGATTTGTTACTTTATGATCATTACTTTATAATCAATTGCCCGAGTAGATGCTTTATGTATATTGGAAAATTACAAGCCTCAAGTGAGGGGAGGAGGGAAATAGGAGTTACGATGGAGTCTGGTGTGAGTCATCATCTAGGAATTGTTTTTCTGTACCTTTTGGTGCCTGGTACCATTACTTGGTCTGAAAGGTGTAGAAGATGGAAGACATCTTTCTTCTAAGATTGATAAGTATGTACATATATGGTCTTAATAAACAGGATAGGAGGGGAGGGATCTTATTAGTATAATGTAAGCAAACAGAGGCAGAGATAATGTATTCTGGTTGGGCGCTTCTGATAGATTGTAGCCTCCAAAACCTAAGCCAATGGGGCCATGGAGGGAGGGAATGGGGCATCGTGATAGGGTGTATAAAATTGAACTATGAAACCATTGTAGATGTGGCTCAACAATGTGGCATACTGTGTTATGCTACTTGAGTTCACCGCGCTTTGCAAAGAGCTTTTAAAGTTTTTTTGTTAAACAATAAACTCTTTTCTGATTGCAACTCCAACTGATTGGATTTCTTTTAAAGTATTTTAATTTTACAGCCAATAGCACTATTTCAGTATTTGAGAGGCTGCCACAAAGAGCAGGGAATCAATTTATTTTCCAAAGCACCAGAAGGCAAGACAAGAAACAATGGATGGAAACTAATCAAGGAGAGATGTAACCTGGAATTAAGGAGAAACTTCCTAACAGTGGGGACAATTTACCAGCTTGCTTTCAGACATTATGGGTGCTTCATCACTCGAGATCTTTAAGAAGAGACTGGACATCCACTTGTCTGAAATGATATAGGGTCTCCTGCTTGAGCAAGGGGCTGGATTAGAAGACCTCCAAGGTCTGTTCCAGCTCTATTCTAATTATTCTTCTTTTTCCTAAACCATCCCAAAATTCATTGGATTCCACTATAGTACAACCTGCAGAGGTCCTGAGAAGCAATGCCCAAAGCATTTCAAACATTTTAAAATTTATAAAAATAGATGAGATCTTGCACTTTGAAGGACAGACTAGAGATTCAGAAGAATCTTGACAGATTTAAGCATTGGGCTCTAGCTAACAAGATGCAGTTCAGTAGTGAGAAATGTATGGTCTTGCACTTCAGCAGGAAAAAACCAAATGCACAGGTATAGAATAGGCAGTACCTGGCTCAATAATAGTAACTGTGAGAGGACCTAGATGTCCCACCATTTAAGTATAAGCAGCTGCCAAAAAATCCAATTCAGTCCTAGGCTGCTTCAACAGAGGAATGGCATCAAAATCATAAGAAATAATAGTACAGCTTTATATTATACTAGTGATACCACACTTGGAATACTGCATCCAATTCTGGCCACCTTGATACAAAAAAGAAAGAATGCAGAGAAGAGCAGCTAATATGGAAAAGAATCTATTAATCATATGAGGAAACTAGTGTGGGAGGTCAGAGCCCCAGAGAAGGAAATATTAAAAGGGCAGAAAAATATATTTCCTCAAAAGTATTTTAAAAAGCAGAAACCAACTTTGGCTCCAAATCTATCTCTCTGCCCCAAGCAAGAACTAGCCCCATACAAATGCAGATGTAAAACCATCAGAAAGTTGAAGCCAGAGCAATCAAGAAGACAAAGAGAAAATCTGCATGCTCCACCCAAACTCTAGGAGTCATTAGCCCCATCATCTGGGAAGCAAGATATGATAATAGGATTAAACCACAGATATCAAGGCCTAGAAAAACACTCAGAGATATCCTCAAGGTTCATGCCACAAGAACAGGAAACTATTCCAAACAGGGCTAGAGAGGGTATAAAAACCTACTGCCCATGTGCTCAGCTCTTTCTTCTCCTCTGCTCTTTCTTGCAAGGACAATCTTTCTGCTTCTTCAATAAACTGTAACCTTCTTCCCAAAGCAGTCGCCATGTTGCTTACTTATCCCCGGCTTGGATGAACCAGGATGAAGACTTACTTCTGACAAATTTGGCGACCCAGATGGGAGTCCTGGAGCCACTGGTGCCATGTGAAGCCTCAGAAGAGAAAATTAGACTGTGGGGGGAGGGTGGAAAGTCATTGTAAAACTTTTCATTCTTGCCCCATTTGTATTGTAACAAGCCAGTTGAATGTATTAATGGAGAGATGGCATTTGGGAATAGTTGGCAGAACAAGTACTGAACACCTTGGACTTCTATCTGGTGGGAGGGAAAATTTATCCAGAATGTTTGTATTGCCTGTTTTGTAGAAGTAGCTGCACATACACACACAAACACCATTCATAATCACACTTGAGTCTCTTCTACCTACCTTCAGTAGAGTTCCCCAGAATGATTTTTGCTCTATTGCACCAAAGCTTTGTAGGAACAACTTCCAACAAATTCCAAGGGGGAGGGAACTAGGCCCCCTCAGGTGATTTGCAATTCATATGCCCTGACTAATGAAGCAACAGGAAAGAGACCCCAAACCTCAGCCCTGAATATCTTGCACTGTTGGACTCAGATTAGGATTCCTAGAGCTCACTATGTGCAATTTAAGAAAAAGTTTAATAGCCTGGCATACTGGCTAACCTTAATTGGACATTACAAACCTGGATGCACTGAACTAAGAGCTAAGGCAGGAAACAACCCTTGAAAATGGGCAGTCAGTGGTCATGTACTAAGGAAAACCATGGCTGTGAAGAATTTTGGGAGATATGTAAACCTGACTGGAAGCTAAAAGTGACATCCAACATTTGAAAATGATTGGCACAGAATATTGGACACTATAAATTTCTTTTCCATCTAACAAATTTTTTGCCTTGACTTTTAGAATTTTATGGTTGCAAGCTCCCCTTTTGGGAGCACGGATCTTTTTCTGCTGCCTCTATTAGTGTCTTATTTTTGGGGGGCATAACAGTTTAAAAGCTTGCCTACCAAGTCTCCCTGACCAGAACAATTTTAATGTTGTGCCAATAAGTGTGACATTCTCACACTTAAGGCACAAAGTGGGGATATTGTGGGAAGTCAGAGCCCCAGAGAAGGAAATATTAAAAGGGCAGAAAAATATATTTCCTCAAAAGTATTTTAAAAAGCAGAAACCAACTTTGGCTCCAAATCTATCTCTCTGCCCCAAGCAAGAACTAGCCCCATACAAATGCAGATGTAAAACCATCAGAAAGTTGAAGCCAGAGCAATCAAGAAGACAAAGAGAAAATCTGCATGNAAATCTGCATGCCCCACCCAAACTCTAGGAGTCATTAGCCCCATCACCTGGGAAGCAGGATATGATAATAGGATTAAACCACAGATATCAAGGCCTAGAAAAACACTCAGAGATATCCTCAAGGTTCATGCCACAGGAACAGGAAACTATTCCAAACAGGGCTAGAGAGGGTATAAAAACCTACTGCCCATGTGCTCAGCTCTTTCTTCTCCTCTGCTCTTTCTTGCAAGGACCATCTTTCTGCTTCTTCAATAAACTGTAACCTTCTTCCCAAAGCAGTCGCCATGTTGCTTATTTATCCCCGGCTTGGATGAACCAGGATGAAGACTTACTTCTGACACTAGGTATATTAAGGAAACTAGGTATATCTAGCCTAACAAAGAAAATAATTAGGGGTGACATGATAGCTGTCTTTCAGTATATGACGGGCTGCCATAGAGAGGTGGGGATAGACTTATTTTCCAAAACACTTGAGGGCAGGTCAAGAAGCAGTAGATGGAAGGTCATCAGAGGGAGATCTAACCTGAAATTAAGGAAAAAGTTCCTGATAGTGAGAATTAACCAATGGAATGATTTGCCTCACAGAATTGTGGGTGTACCGTCACTGGAAGTTTTCAAGAAATGATTGTACAACTATTTGTCTGTAATGGTATAAGGACTCCTGCCTTGAGCAGGGCGTTGGACTAGAAGACCTTCCAGCCCTATGATTCTATGAACATTCTGAGTCCTGGTTTCCTGCAACATTCCAACAATCCTGATATGAATCCTGCATCCTCTTGGGCCAATAATGAGGGGGGGGGGAGGCGGGACTTCTGCTGTGGAAAATGAATGACAAGGCAATCAGACCTGCAGTCTACCTGCTGGAAGGAGAAATAAACAATCATCATGGAAAGGTCACATCTCATTGTTCTGCTACACCAAGTAAGCACTAACAAAGCTAGAAATGCAACCAGACTAGGTTGAAAGGAAGACTATTTGGGATTCTGAACTACAGTACTCAGGTGTACCAGGGAATTTATTTAATGCATAAAATGAATTGAACCTTAAGTGTTTGGATTTCAGTGTAGAAGCTCTTATCCCTCTCTAGTTGTACGGATTTGTAGTTTTTTTTTAAGGAGAATAACTCAAAAATATCAACATGTAGGAATTTATTTTTGTAATTTGTGCAAGTGTGCCTCATCTTTCACTATTATTTGCACGTGAGCATAACTACATGTATATCCTGTGTTGTGGAACTTTGCCCCTTTAATAACATAATACAGTAATGGAGATGTAGTGCAAGATGGATCTGATGAGACAAACAGATTATGAGAATTTGTTTCCCTGGCATCCATTTTAGCATAGCTTGCAAGACTGGAAAGCAATCAGCACTAAGGCTATCATGTCTAACATTTCTGAGCTGCATAAATCCGGACGTCAGAATGACAGGAAAGAGCACCCATAGAGCGTCAGCTAAGAACGAACATTACAGTCAGAGGAAGAGCTCGTGGTGCCCACAGGAACCTCTTTCTGCTCGGGGCGGAGCTATTTCAAGTTTTCCTGTCGCGGGCAGGTGCTGGACTTCTCGCGAAGAGGAGGAGGGTGATTCGGCTGAGCGGCGGGAATCCGGTCCTACTGCCTTGGCTGTTTGATTGGCGAACCAGCTCGCAGAGAACGGTGAGCTGGGGCAGTAGAGGTCGCTCCTGCCCGCTTGGAGGGAAAGAGGCTTTTTGAAGGCCGCTGGTGGGGGACTTGACCGCTGATCGTCGTAAGCTCGCTTTCTTTGCCTGTTCTTCCCCGGGGGGGGGGGAATTGCTCTTTGACACACCTTGGTTATGCAGCGGGCGTTTGAGCCCTTGAATTTATCGTCCCTGCAGACTTTCGTTCTATCTGCTCTCTACAATACCTTCTGCGGGAGGTCTGGAAGCGGTTTCATATTGTTCCCGACTAGCCAACCGTATTTTAAAGTAGCATTTGGTGAGCATGCAGCGTGAACCATATTTCGGCTGTTTCTCACAAATTATAGATATCGCCATTACTTATTTCTGTCCCTATAAAATGCATTGTTTAAGGCCAAATTCTTCCTCTTTGGGTTCTGCTTTGGAACTTAGTTCTCATTGTCAAGAAATTTATGCTTCGTTCCAGGTTGCTGTAGGTGTTTAGGGCTTGTAGCTATATATGGCGTGCTTAAGCTTCCCATTATGGGAGGAAAGTATCTTTCTTTTAGCCGAAATATAGTCAAATTAGCATTTTATGCAGCACACAATTGTTTCCTTCAAGAAAGTAACTCCAAAGTTGTATAGTGTTTCAGGAACTCCCAGCAAAAGAAAAAAAATGTGTCTAAAGTTCTGTGATAGTCATGGAAGTGCAGAAGAGAGCACAGGGCAAGACAATGGTAGTGTTTAAAGTTTAAACTAGGAGAATAAGAGGAGGCTGGCCTGTTTTTCTTTATTAATCGTTTTTTTTAAAGGCTTCTTACAGAAAATACACTAACTTACTACTTTTAACTTTCTTCAGGGCCAGGATGGTGGTTTTCTCAAAAGAATATGGCTATGTGATTTTAACTGGTGCTGCCAGCTTTGTCTTGATAACACACCTTGCAGTAAATGTAGGGAAAGCACGCAAGAAATATCATGTGGAGGTAAGCATGGGTGATTTCCCCAGAATTCCCCTACTTAGCTATTTCTAGAGGCAGAAACTGTAGCATTTCCTGAAAGGAAATTGTGTGTGTGTGTGTGTGTGTGTGTGTAGAAATATTGTGAATGCTTCAAGTTGAGTTATGTAAAATACTGTGCTTCATCTTTCAGGAAACAGTATTTTAAAAAATAACAATTAAAATATTGTATAATAATCAAAAATAAACAAGAGGTAAAACAAGTAACCTTAACCCTCTAAGGCAGGCATGTCAAACTTGTGATGTCACGTGATGTCGCGCGACGTATCGCGACTTTTTCTCCATTGCCGGCAATGGGTGGGCGCAGTTTTGGCGTGACGCATCTGACCTGCAGGCCGGCAGTTTGACATGCCTGCTCTAAGGTGACTTTAGTTTAAGGTCACAGATTATGCTCCAATAACTTGGATCCATACCACCTATACTTTTAAAAGATAAGTGAAGAAAAATTTGGGCTGCAGAAATGAGTAGAGTCAGTAAGTGGCAGTAAAGAGATAAGGCATTTCTCAAGTCATTACAATCACATCTGAGGCTGTAATTTCCATCGCTTAGCAAAGTAGTTGTAAAACACAATACCATGGGACTGTAACACTTAGCAACAGCAATCCCTACAGTCCCAGCTGCCCCAACTTGTGGATCATTAAGTAGAATATAATATAGCTGGAAGGGACCTTGGAGGTCTTCTAGTCCAGCCCCTGGCTCAAGCAGGAGGACCTATACCAGGGGTAGGCAACCTTGGCTCTTTTATGACTTGTGGCTCAGGAATTCTGGGAGTTGAAGTCCACGAGTCATAAAAGAGCCAAGGTTGCCTACCCCTGACCTATACCATCTCAGACAAGTGACTGGCCTCTTCTTAAAAATCTCCAGTGATGGAGCGCCTATGATTTCTGGAGGCAAGCTGTTCTACTGGTTGTCCTCACTGTCAGGAAATTTCTCCTTAATTCCAGGTTGCTTCTCTCTTTTCCAACCTTTGTTTCTTGTCCTGCCCTCTGGTGTTTTAATAAATAATGTGACCCCCCTCTTCTTGGTGGCGGCCCTTCAAATACTGAAATACTACTATCATGTCTCCCCTATTTCTTTTTTTCTTTAACCAAATCCAAGTCCTGCAGCCGTTCTTCGTATGTTTTAGTCTCCAGGCCTTTAATCATCTTAGTTGCTCTTCTCTGAATTTTTTCCAAACTCTCAACATATTTTTTGTGATATGGTGACCAAAATTGGCTGCAGTATTCCAGGTGTGGTCTTACCAGGGTTTTATAAAGCGGTACTAATACTTTGCATGATCTTGATTCTATGCCTCTGCTTATACAACCCAGGATTGTATTAGCTTTTTTGGTTGCTGCTGCACGCTGCTGGCTCATAGTCAAGTGATCGTCCACTAGGACTCCAAGGTCCCTCTCACAGTTACTGTTTTTAAGTCAGGTCTTGCCTAATCTGTACTTGTATCTTTGTTTTTTCCTGCCTAAATGTAAAACTGTGCTTTTCTCCAGATTAAAACTCATTTTGTTGGATAGGGCCCATTGTTCAAATTTGTGAAGATCTTTTTGCATCCTGAGTTTGTCTTCTGAGGTGTTGGCTACTCCTGCCAGTTTGGTGTCATCTGCAAATTTGATGAGTTCCCCTTCAATTCCCTCATCTAAGTCATTGATGAAAATATTGAAGAGTACTGGGCATAAGACGGAACCTTGTGGTACCCCACTGCTTACTTCTCTCTATATGGATGTAGTGCCATTGAGGACTACTCGTTGAGTACGGTTTGCCAGCCAGCTACAGATCCATCTGGTGGTGATGTTGTCTATTCCACCTTTTTCTTGCTTACCAAGGAGTAGGTTGTGGTCTACTTTATCAAATGCCTTTCTGAAATCTAAGTATACTATGTCCACAGTATTTTGCTGGTCTACTACCGTAGTTTAGTCACTTTATGAAAGAATGAAACAAGATTGGTTTAGTATGATCTGTTTTTAACAAACCTGTTCTGGCTACTAGTTATAACTTTGTTTGCTTCTAGTTGTTTGCAGATTTGTTTTTTGATTATCTTTTCCAGGATCTTCTCAGGTATTGATATTAGACTGATTGGTTTGTAGTTTCCTGGGTCTGTTTTTTTCTCTTTCTTGAAGATGGAAACCACATCAGCCCTTTTCCAATCCTCAGGTACTTCCCCAGTGCTCCAGGATTTTTGAAAGATATGTTTCAATGGTTCTGAGATAACATCTGCCAGTTCCTTCAGAACTCTGGTAGCGTATTAATTGGTTCCACTTTCACTGCCGATCGCATTTGCCTAACTTTCGACGGTTTCTCCATTCCCAGCCCTTTCTTGATTTTACTCTTCAGTCGCCACTTGTTACTTCCTCAGTCAATTGATAGGTTCCACTTTTTCAGCCACAAGAACCCCAGTATCATTGTTTCTGCCATCTTTGGGCCTATAATAAACTGGCTAGTCTCTTCATAGCTCCCCATCTTTTAGGCTCACTGGCTCAGTCAGGCAGGTTGCAGACATCCCACGCCCCCAGTAAGCAAACCATCCACCTGCTCAAACTTCATGAGTTGCTTCAGTCTCTTAAGCCTTAGTCCCAACAAATCCATTGTTTTCAGGCTGATCAAGCAGCAAGTGCACCCTGAGTCTAACAGAGGGTGCACTACCACCTCCACCTGGGCAGTCAATGGGGTAATGGTGCTACTTACCATCAGATCATCTTCCCTCTCATTGTCACTCTCGTAGAACACCAGTCCAGGCTTGCTGAGGGTCGGAGTTCTCTCTTTGCTTGATTGGGGGGAGACCTCCACGACCTATGGCGCTGCTCGCATTTTCTCCTTCATCATCTTTGGAGTTTTCTTTGGCTTGGGTTGGCTCGGGGTGCTTGGTATCGATGTAGGTTGGGGGGCAGGCAATTGACTGCCCTGTGGCCTTCTTTCTCACATCGGAAGAAAGCTCCTGTGGGGCGACGCAGACCCTCTCTGGTGATTGGAGCAGGGGGTCCTTCCCCTCTACGTGTTGGTGGGCACTTCTCTTGGCTTTGGTGGGACGGCTCTCAGGCACTGCATGTCGCCGATACTCCATCAGATCCAGTTCCACTGTGATGGCCAGCTGATATCACACTTGGAGGTCATCAGGAATTCCCTGGGGCAGGCAATTCTGGTACACCTCTTTGTTTAGCCCATCTCAAAATTGGTAGACCAGTAGGTGTTTTGGCTACAATCTCACCTTCCCAGCCAGGCTGCAAAACTCCTGAATGTACTCAGCCATGGACCGGTTCCCCTCGCCGCAGGGAGACGGGACCGCCTAGATGGTTCCGTCCCAGGCGACTGATGGACCCTGAGAGGTTCCTGACGGAGCTTGGGCCATATCCGGAGGATCTGGTCCACGACTCGGCGGAAAATCAGGCGGCGGCTTGGGAGACAACTGCCGCCGCAGCATTGGACCGAGTTGTGCCTTTGCGGCCTCTGACCCGACGTAGATCTCGATTGGCTCCCTGG